ATCAAATGAACTTAGTAATCATGTTTCTAAAGTTAGGACATACAAGCCTGATAACCATCAATTCTATAAAAGTATTTGATGAACATTGAGGTTATATAATTTAACAAAGTTGTACAACATTCTGGATTTTCATAAATTTTTATTGCTATTAATTTTGCAATATACATACATAAAAATTTAATAATGGCAGCAATAAGACATACATTACAAAGAGAGGTGTTTACACCTAGTGATGAGAAATTATTGAGTGTATGTTATGTCAGTAAGGCATATAAGAAGAAAAAAATGAGCTTTTTATGCTTGACCACAACTCCAGATTCACCTTCATCTTTACTTCTGTATCAAGTAAAAAAGAATGATAAAAATATATTTAAGAAAAAGCAGTCTTGGTCTTTAAATGATATTCAAGTTGTGGATGGAGTCAAGAATGATTCTATGGATATAGAATTTCATATTGATAAAGTATATAAATGGTCCGCAACAACAGCTCAAGAAAGAAGAACATTTATTAGTAATTTGTATACTTATTCCTGTAATTTAGCTCAAAGACCACAGTTTAAAAATATTTCTAAAGAATGGCTGATAGATCCTAGTTCATTGAAAGAAAGTGACAGTATTACTTTTACACCAGGTAAATATTATAATGATTAAAATAATCTCAGCTAATATTCTGATATTCTAATGTTCTTTAGAACTGTTAACATCTCCTATCTCATCTGATTATCAGCCTATTACTGAAAAAGAAGCTGCTGATTTGAAACAAATGATGGTAGACTGTGAATATGCAGTCTCTAATGCTGAACTCTTCATGGAAACACTGTCTAAAGATCTTTCAATTCTTGATGGGGTACAATTAATCATTTTGATGGATTATGAATGTTGATCCTTTTTAAAAAACCTCTACTTAAAATTTTGTTTCCAGGAAAATGTACAGTCAGTCTTAGCATCAGAAGCACGTGTAACTCAATTGATGAATAGTATAGAAGCAGCAATAACCGAAGCTTCTATTGTTGAAGCTAGACTCGCAGCTTATGATGAAGCGCTTGGTAGGATTAGAGAAGTCATGGCACGTGTTGGTCAGAAAAATCAAGCAATTCATACAGCCAATAATAACGCGAGACTTTTATTAAATCAGTTGAATACAGTCATTGTAAGCAACTTGTATGAAAAAGCAATATTTCTAAAATTTCTCCTTGTAATATAATTTTTTAATTTGGTTAAGTCACAATTAGATATTTCCCCAACTCATCAACGTATTTTGAGTGAAGCTGAGCTTCCTGGAGAGAAGGAAGATCTTATCCAGGCAGGTGGTGCTCTTTTGAAAGCAATAACAGCTCCTTTACCATCAGGGCTTGATAAGTTGAGTGCAGTTACAGAACAGAAAAGGCGTCTCGATAAACTTCGAGCAAAATTTTCTGCGATCGTGGCTAGACATCTAAATAATCTGTTTATACATTTGGTACGTGTATCTAAAAGAATACGGTTTGCGGTTGTTGGTATTGAAAGTTGCTATATTCGCAGGGTAATGATGTTGGAGATATGTCAATGTCAATGACGGACTTAATGCTTCCGACACATCAAGCAGTTCATCATGAACTTGAACCATATACAGAGTTAATGCAGTTATTAAGAGCATTAGATAATAGGGCTTTCGTACAATTAACTAAAGTGTACACTGATACAATGAGTAAACTGTATAAAAGAGATTTGAAAAGATTTTTTGAAGAAGCAAAAAATAAACTGATTGGGAAACGTCTTCAAGGTACCTACTACGTTTGTTTATTTTTAGTAATAATGTGTTTTATCCTCCACCATAATATGTTAACACAAATAATTTTAAGCAAGTACATCAAAGTCTAGTGGCCAAAAACCAGAGGATATATTGAATCCTGCGCCTATCTGCTTATTAAGCGGTGAAACATGGGCACCTGTAGGTGAAGGAAATCTTTTGGACTCTGTTCTCGACTGCGTGCTTTCTCAAATGCAGCCTGTGTGTCTTGCTGAACAAGCTTTTTGCATATCGTTTTTGCAGTTAGACTCTGTTCTGTCTCCATCAAAAGTATGTAAATCATTACACGACATGCACGTAGAATATTTAAAAGTTATAATAAGTATTTATATAAATGTGCTAGAGCAGTGAAATTGAGGAAACAGACAACGTTAGCAATGGTGCTGCAAGTCCTGGATCAGTGACTTCTACAGCAAGTAAAAAATTGGAGAGACAAGTAAATGAAGAGGTGCGGGCGACAATGGCGGCAATATTCCCGTCTCTAGAGATCGAATTAAATAATTTCATTGCTTTCTTGGATAAAATTGATAGCTTGTGAGGTTTAAACAAATTTTTAACCATCTAAATCAACTTTTGTTATTTTGCTTAAGGACTAATTTTTGGAATAAAAAAACATTTCAGTTGGTGTATGTACGTCTTAGTACGTTTGTCGCAACACGTCATGTCTGCACAAGATACTGGTTCCTTCTTGTCCATGACGTTTGCTTCTGCTTTAATCCAAGTTAAAAGGGCATTTGATAAATTCATGCAAGCACAGTTACAGTCAATTCTTTGCGATACTAAAATTAATCGCAAGAACAAGTGTGGTATTTTACCATACGTAGAACATTTTGAACCATTCGCAAGAACGGTTGAAAAAATTTTTAAAAATTCCGACAGGAAAGTTGATCTTGAAAAGTGGTATACTAAATTAGTGAGTACAATGTTCGAGGCCATTGTTACTCATAGCAGGGAACATCATAAAACTCCTCAAGAAGTTATAAAGATGGGTAAGTTTGAAATCGTTATTATAATTTTGTAAATTCAATGTATTAACAATAAATAATAATTCTCTTTTATTGTAGAAAACTTTCATCACCTGTATGATCTCTTATCGCAGTTAAAAATATCTGTTCTTGATCATGAACGGAAGGAAGCTAAGCAAAAGTATCAAGATGCTTTGCGTGCATATGTTACACAGTACTTTGGCCGACCACTGGAAAAACTTAATGTTTGCGATTTAAATCTTCTAAATTTCCATTTCTCTTTTCAAGTATGCATAAAATATTATATATTTATAGCTATTCTTTGAAGGCGTACAAGCGAAAGTTGGCGCTGGCGTTAAAGAGTCAGAAGTTAGCTATCAAATGGCTTTTAGCAAACAAGAACTTAGACGTGTCATAAAAGAATATCCTGCCCGAGAAGTAAAAAAAGGCTTGGAGAATTTATATAGGAAAGTTGAGAAACATTTGTGCGAGGAAGAAAATTTATTACAGGTCAATATAATTAATTTATAAGTACTTTTATTTTTTTTTATGTACCATGTGCTCCATCTATTTTCTGTACGTAGGTCGTTTGGCGTGAAATGCAAGGCGAATTCATTGCACAGTACATATATATAGAAGAATTAATTCAGAGATGCTACCCAGATAGTATGGTAACACTAGAATTCACTATACAAGACATATTAGAGTTCTTCTCAGAGATAGCTCGATCTCATTAAATAATTTACTAATTAAAATAGTGTAAAGTAAATATATGTATTACTATTGAAATAAACATAAACAAAATAATGCAATTTGTTGTTGATAAAAATGTACATATTTAACGTATTTAAATTTTGGTTGAATTTGAACCATTTTCTGGAATAACATACAAACTTATTTATTTATGCAACAGCTGCACATGTTTTAATTGCATACAGTTGTACAACATTTTTAACAAAAAAAAAACAAGAATGTTAGAAATTATGAAGAAACTGTGTTTTGTATGATTATAGTTTTCACCGTCACAAAATATAAGAACTGAAAATAATGAGAATGTTTTATTATTTTTTACAATATAATAGTTACAATATTTATTATATGCTACGAGATTATAATTATATATTCATCTTATTCTTCAGCTTTCTTTGGTACTGGAACTTTGTAATTAAGCCAAAGTAATCCAGTAACTCTACCCTAAAAAATTAGGATATTATTGTATATTAAAAAATTTGTAAGGAATAGAAAAAAATTATATGCATCGAGTAAAAATGTACTATGCTTCTTTAATATATTATGATTTATACTAATACATACAAAAGCTATTGTAGCACCAAGTATAATAATGCCAGCTGCAAATTGTAAATTGGCCTTCCGCATTCTTTTTGCATTTGCTTCTTTCCAACAACCACTTGGAACAATAACTTCATCCATGGTTGCTGGTCTACAATCCTTAGGTACATGGAAAGATCGGACTCCTATAAAAATAAAATAATTTTAGATAGAAAATTATTGGTAAAGTAATTTCTATTTTGGTTAGAAATTATTCTATGCTTAGGAACACTTTTTTTAAATATAAATTCTACACAAGCATGATTCCTTCAATTTTTTCCAATGATTGACTGCGTACAATTTTTGCATATATACTTAAAAAATCAAACACATTCTCAAACAATATCAAATGACAGAAACTAATATTATATAAGAGTTTTTAATGAAAAGAACATTCGAACATTTCAGCCTTGTGAAATAAAATGTAGTAATAATATTAACTTACCAGTTCGCGTATTTCGAATAACTGGTTGCAAAATATGTCGCATCATTTTTATTCTCGGTGTGTTTAATGTTCTTAAGTGAATAGTACGCAGAATTTCACGCGACGTAAATACGTAGACACCGGACACCGCCAACTTTTGGCTTTTGCAGTGATAAAGTTGGTTCAATATAGTCAAGTACCTAGCCTTAAACCTGCTTAAACCTACGATCTCAGCGCATGCTTCATTGCCATGTAATATATGTAGATGAGAGAATCAGTTCAAAATGTCGAGTTCTATATATATAGGTACCCTCGCGCTCCGATTAGTCCGATTTGAAAGATTCGATGAGAACTTGCCGGTTATGATAGCACAGTATTACGTCAAGAAGAACAACCATTTGTAGTACTTACATAATTTAAATTCCATATGTAATAAATAATGTATCATCGAAATAAATACGTTTACTAATATGCAATGGTTTATTTCAACGTACAGAACAACGTAGTTTGAATAACAAAACTTTTTTCCTAAAACGTTGGAATTTATTATTTGTTTTTACAAGATAAAAATAAAGAGATAGTACCGAATTCTCTTTTCTGTCAAACAATGTAATGCAAAATTAAGCGATAAAAATACTTATTACCAGATATATCCTTTAATATACAATATTTATGTGTTGAACTTATACAGTAAGACATAACCATTTAACACCTGTCATTTTTTATTTGTGATATTGTTACACTCCATGTTTTCTCAGGTGTGTATTAATATATAATGCCAATTTCACCATTTAGTTATATTATACATTTACATTGCGTTAGAATATTTCCAGCTAATATAGCTCAGGAAATAATGCAATTGGATTTTTCCTGTACATTTCCATCCGCTTTTTCGATCTCAATTAACAATGTATGAAAAATATCAGCAACAGACTGAAACGGAAAATTATACATTATACTAAGGCCATAAGTTCAAAGGAGAAAGTCAGAATTACCTCGTTTTGTTTTGCACTTGTTTCTAAGAAAGCTGCGTGCCAAGAGTCTGCCAATCTTTTTCCCTGTTCTGTTGTTATCATTCGATCTACATATAAATCCGTCTTATTTCCTACTAACACGATAGGGACACTACAATTTATAAAAGAAAATATTAGTATACTTAGCAAGTTACACAATACTACATGTACTACATTAAAATATAAGAAATATAGAAAACAAAATAATTAATAAAACGTACTGGACTTTCCCCGTTATATCCAATAACTTGTCATAAATAATTTGTACAACTTCAAAACTCTTAGCACTGGTTATACTATATACCAAGACATAACCATGGATATCCATGGAATACTGTGTAGGAAATATACTATATTCATCTTGACCTGCTGTATCTACCAACTTAACTTCATAATCTTGGCTATTTACTCGAGTACTTTTCGTAAACGCTAAAAAACAGATAATTGTATAAATTTCATTAGAAAGTACAATCAGATTTAACAGTAGAACCCACACCTTTGCATTCAATTTTAATTAACAAAGATCAGAGATTTAATTTTATCTTTTTGTGTAAGTTTTACATGGGAAGAAAGCAGAAATAATCTTAATTATAAGATGTGAAGTGCTACTGTATTGAACACATTTAATTACAATAAATAGGAGTTTCCAAAATAGATACTTGCATTTAGTATTGAAATAAGAAAACTAATAATTGAAGAGTTCATGCATGTTACTAACAATGCATCATGCTAGAATCAAATTAATTTGTGTATTCTGTTAATAGTTCTAATATACATGTACAAACCGCACATAATGTAAACTAATTCAACCAATAAAATATTTATTTATGTGTGTATATAAAGATAATTTACAGCATAACAGCATTTCATAAGAGTTAAGATAATCATATATTTATAATTACAAAATTATTAAATGGAAATTTAAGATGTTAATATGTAACATCAAACTGAAAAAAATCTTATTTATTTTAAAAGTTTTATTTTGTAAATAAATAACAGTACCTGTACCATTGTAAAATATGTCAAATTTTAAAAAATGCATACGTATTTTACATTGTTTTGTAATGTGCAATGAAAAGTGAAGTAATTGCAACCAATTCCTTTTTCAAATGCAATTTCTCCGTAGAGTTTCATATTTTTCAAGAAAGTATATTTACATGAATCTAATACTTATTTACAGCATGAATTACTAACAGAATGTGCAAGGAATACTATTAACAGTATCATTAGAAATCATTGGAGTATGTAGCATGTAAAACGATAAAGAGGAGGATACTTCTTACTATTTTCTATAGTAGGGTCATATGAATCCACAAACTGTCCCTCGACGAACTGTATGCTCAATGATGATTTGCCTGTTGAAATTGATGAAACAAGTAATGAATATTAAGACTCATTTAGAGCCACTTTCACCTAATTCAATCAACGATTAAGCATAGCCAACAGTAAAAGATACACTATTTCTAAGTACGTGTACTTCTAAATGTTGTTAACTACTCTGGAAATTATTTAATTGTTAATTATATATCACATATATTACATATATTACAATTGATCTCTACTTCACAGTGACATGCAGTTAAAGTTTTGCTTAAGATGGCTACACTTATGCTGATTAAAGTAATCAGAGCTTGGTGAAAGTGTCCCTTAGATGTATTAGTTACATATAAGATGGTTGAATTTTTCCGAATAACTTTTCATACCTACGGATCGGTAACCCATAATAGCTATTTTCCTTTGTTTTGGTGGCATCTTTCAGCATTTATAAACACAGAGGCTGCAACAGTAGTCCATAAAGGCTGGTGCATGCTCCAGTTAGAACCTATGCATCAAATTAGGATAGTTATAAATACCTAAGGTATTGCAAAATCCACATATCATTACTTCTTGGATAAAT